CACTGCAGGGGGGGGGCCAGCCACAGATTCTCTGGGCAACCTCTTCCAGTGCCTCACCACCCTCACAGGAAAGAATTTCTTCCTAATAGCTAATCTAAATCTCCCCTCTTTCAGTTTGAACCATTACCCCTCACCCTATTACTACACTCCCTGGTAAAGAGTCCCTCCTCACCTTTCCTGTAGGCCCCCTTGAAGTACTGGAAGCCTTCTGTAACTTGTCTTCAGAGTCTTCTCTTCTCCAGTCTGAAAACACCAGCTCTCTCAGCCTCTTGTCACAGGCAAGGTGCTCCAGCCCCTTGGTCATCTTTGTGGCCTTCTGTGGACCTGCTCGAGGGAGTCCATGTCTTTCTTGTGCTGGGGGCCCCAGAGCTGGACATGGCACTGCAGCTGGGGTCTCACCAGAGCAGAGGGGGAGAATCACCTCCCTCGACCTGCTGGCCACACTTCTCTTGATGCAGCCCAGGATGCAATTGGCTTTCTGGGCTGTGAGAGCACGTTGCTTTCAGTTTTTCATCCACCAGCACCCCCAGGTTCTTCTTCGCAGGGCTGCTCTCATTGTCCATCCTGTATCTGTGATGGGAATTGTCCCAACCCAGGTGCAGGACCTTGCCCTTGGCCTTGTTGAACTTCCCAAGTTCACACAGGCCCACTTCTCCAGCCTGTCCAGGTCCCTCTGGATGGCCTCCCTTCCCTCCGGTGAGTCAACCACACCATGCAGCTTGGTGTCGTTGGCAAACTTGCTGAGGGTGCACTCAGTCCCACTGTCTGTGTCACTGACAAAGAGGTTAAACAGCACCAGTCCCAATACTGACCTTTGAGGAACACCACTCGTCACTGGTCTTCACTCAGACATTGAGCCATTGACCACAACTGTTGTGAGTTCAACCGTCCAGCGAATTCCTTATCCACCAAGCGGTCCATCCTCCAAATCCATGTCTCTCTAGTTTAGAGACAAGGATGTCATGCGGGACAGTGTGGAACGCTTTGCCCAAGTCCAGGTAGATAATGTCGGTTGCTCTTCCCTTATCCACTGACACTGTAGCCCTGTCATAGAAGGCCACCAAATTTGTCAGGCATAATTTGCCCTTAGCGAAGCCATGTTGGCTGTCAGCAATCATGTCCTTATTTGCATCTGTCCTTATCAGTACGGGTTGGTTTTTTTATGCCTGACAGGTGAGAGTTTGCTTTTATGTACATGGGGGGAGTAGTTCAAAGTTGTAAATTGAGTTAAAAATGTTAAGGAATATGGATGAGGGTTGTTTCCTCTTTTATGATGTTTATGGTTTACCGAAGTATACAAGTTACTACACGTAATTACTGCAGGTACTACAGGGAGCAAGGCCACAAGCTCCCCAAATTCATGGCCAGTGGCCTGGTTAGTGGTCTGTCTTTGAAGGTCCGTTTAGCATTCAGAGAGAAGACGTCGTTATACCAACCAGTCAGTAGCCGTGGAGTTTGCCACCAAGCCTGCCTTAGCCAAGGGGCTACTTTGCTGAATCTGACCCTACATTGTTTTAGGCTGCTGCTGGGAGTTTGCCCTTTGAAGGATAGGCGCTTAATTGGCACAACATTTCAGCTTATCTTTTTTTCTATGAAATTCCTCCTTCAGTAAATTGCAGGTCATGGTAGCCAGACATGCGGTATATACAGCTACAGAGTAGAGGACAGACTGTACAGATGCTGGATGTAAGTCCTTATTCTGTGCTAGTATAAGCTGGGAGCTGACTGCGTGGGGCTCGTGCTCTGCCGGCAGAACATGTTGCATCTGCTCTGGGATAGTTTTTTCATTTTGCTCAGAGGACGTTTGTTATGCCAGATTCATCTTATGTTCTCCACATGCAAATTCACTGCTTTATTTTAAGGGAAAAAAGCATCATAAACTCTTAAGTAGCCTAAAAAATAAAAGGTGTAGTAGTTATTTACTGAATAGCAGCCCTGCATATAGAGTGTTTCCTGTAGAATTTAATGACTCTTTAATTTTAGGCTGGGATAATCCCTTTTCCTATGTTGAGTTCTCTGATGAGAGCTTGAGATAGTGGTTGACTCAATAGCACTGAATATGAAGATGCAGGAACAGGGCTGTTTGAATTCCCCTGGGAAAAGGGAATCACTTCCTTGGAAAGAAGACAGGACTTGACAGAGCAAGAACACTGGAGTGGTGGTATGGAAGACTAATGAGCATTTCATCTTAGCTGGCAATCATAGAAGGTTGTATCTGGTTAACAGAACAGAGGAGAACGTAAAACTTCAAATGGGTTATCTGCTAGGAAGTGATAGATAATATATCTTGACTTTGGAGCTATTCTAAAGAATTCTAATATGCCTGCATAGATTTGTCTTTTATTTATTTTAATTAGACATGACTGGGAGGTTACAGAAGGGCAGGAACCTAAACTATGAGAACTGAGCAAGAGCTAATTGTGTGGTGTAGGAATGCATGCTAAAGAATAGAAGACCTGTGTTGCTTCCTAGAACTTGGAAGGAAATCCCTGTTATACTGAATGGGCAACAAGACATCTCCAGATCACAACTTCAGTTATCCTGTGTTTTTGGAAGTTGAAAAATCTTCCAAGTTAAAATGAGCAAAATCTTTTGTTAGTGAGTGTAGAGGAACTGTCATAGGTGGTTTTGTTCTTGCTGATAAACTTACTGGCATGTACAATTGATTGAAAGTCAAAAGACACTAGGTAACAAGATGCTCTGAAAAGTCAGACTTTTGCTTATCAGATATCAGTGACTTCAAAGGTGTCAGCAAAAATGTAAGGCAAGTCAAAATCATTTCAGATTATCTTTCATGGGAGCTAGAACTCTGAAGGCTAAAAAATTATCTATGTTTCACATGGAAAAAAAGTGAGCTAGAAATCGTATATCCCAAGTTGGATGTTTGCTCAAAGAGATTGAAAGAGGTTTATTTGGGAGTATATGATACTTTAGTCATACTTGTGATTGAAGTCCCTTACTTGTGAATGGCAGGATCTCTCATTTGAAAATCTGTGAAGGTAAAAACTGATTTTCTGCCACAGCAATGAAAGTGAATCTTGTCTGTAATGTTCCTCAACTTTGCAAAAAAGTAAATTTACTTTAAGAGTAAATATGTGTGAGCCTACGTATGTACAGTTAATGCTTTAATATAGAAAGCAATTTATTCACCAAGAGTTTAGGTTTTGGGAGGTAGGTGGCCTGGTAATCTAAATCTTTGTTAACAAATATCTACATGCATTTGTTTGGTTTGAGTGTTAGGCTGATCTATGCTGCTTTTTCACTGTCCACAGTAAGTGATTTTTACCAAAATGTCACCTTCTGCATTGCAGTAATGGGGCAGTTGTTCCACCTGCTCCAGTGATGACATTCCCTGAATCTTTCTCTTGTCTGCTTTGCAAAAGGCAACACACTGGCACCAAACAGTGTGGTCAATCTGCTGCTCCTGGCTTGTATACCTGGATTTCCTGTTGAGCACCTGCTAAAAGTATCCAATCTGGAGCATGTTAGGTCTTGATTCAGATAAAAACGAATGTCCCAGTAGCTATGTTTCTGATCTCTGCAGACAGTTCTCTGCTGACTTCAGTAGATATCAGGACCAAAACTTCCTTAAGAATTTATTCAACTGTTGGTTCAGTAGCAAAAGAAGGGTCTAGGTTAGTGCCTAGATCCTCTGTGTCTTATCTATACATCTCACCATTTTTCTTGAATTTTAAATAGCATGTTGTTCACTGCTAGTATTGCCACCATTGGCTCCTGACTGTGGGTATACAGTTCAATTAAAGCAAAACAAAGCCAACATACCAGGTGGAGTCAGTTTCCTACTGAAAAATTCCAGAACAGACAGAAAATGAGTGCTCACACTACAGGAATATGTCAATTTGTTTGTGAGACTCTGGACATAACTTTAAAACCACATTATGTGTTCTGTGTCAGACTGCAGAGAGTTTTACATTCTTACTGGATAGCAGCTTTTTTTCAGAGTGTATTTCCTCCCTGTCCCCTTCCCCCTTTTTTTTTTCCCCTTTTATTTTTGGTCAGAAAATTGATCATCTGCTCTTCACCTACTACTGCTCTTCTTCCTGAACATGGTGCCTTGCCTATCATTATGATGGACAATAAAACATTAAAAGCAAGCAAACAAACAAAAAGCCCAAAACCCAAAACAAAATGAAACAACCCACACCACAATACCAAACCCAGGCCGAAATTGCTTCTACTTTTTGCACTCTCAGTTTTTAACTGTGGCTTCTGGAGGTTCTGGGAAATGCATGTTTCCTGTCTGCAGATGGTAACTTTGGAACTTACTGTATCTTTGCTTCAAAGCCACTGTCTACTAGACTGGAGAATAGGATATGGATACTAATGTCCTGGGAGTAACCAGTGATGGAGTGATGTCCAGAAACATGCTCAGGACAGGCAGTAAGAATTATAAAGCTAGAAAATAGAATAGGGTGTGGGGCAGGGAATTCAGTGCAAAGAAATCAAGAAAGATAAATACGGATTTTAACTTTGCTGTGTCTGTGTCGGTGGTACTCTGGGAAGGTTATGTTGGATGAACATTAAATTTTGTTAGGGCAAATTATTTTATTTTTTTTAAACCAAAAGTTGTTTTACATGTAAGTAAATTTAGCGATTTTAGCCTTTCTGTTAATTTGAAAAACATTCTACACAAACAGAATATTTCCCACTTCCTTCTAAATTTAGGGATCCTTGATACTTTGTCTTGAGCCATATTTAAAAACTAAAAGTGATGGGGGGAGGCTGTGTGAAAAAGTAACTGTATTTCTCAAATGTATGGGGTGATCTAAGGGCTTAATTTCAAGAAGGAATGTTTAGTCATATATGTAAACCTGTTGGCAACCCTTATATAAAAACAAAAACAAACAAAAAAGCTGCTTGTGTTGTTAAGATGCTTTTAGATAAAAAGCAGATAAAAAGCAACGTTTTTCTCAGCAGGCATTACATATAGCCCAAACTCCTTGGCTTTCTGATTAGTAACAGAAAATGTGATGGAGAGCCACACTCAGATACAGCTGACTCAGTGATTTCTAGGTAGGTTTGGGAACCAATGGGTTGCATGTGTGCAGGTTAAGATAAAGTTCTTACCTTTTGGATAAATCTAAAAGTCTAGATTTATTTTATTGAGCCTGGTTAAATAGGGTGCACATATATATATAGCAGAATGGAGTGGGTTAATCCACCAAAGGCTTTTTAAACTTGTGTAATTTGACAGTGAAGTTCTATTATGGTATGAAGGAAATGCCATGCTATGTGTTATTGGGATTTGTGTTCTGTTTTCAGGTTACTTCTTTTATTCATACAAATTTATTTTATCTTTTGTAGGAAAGAATTAATACTGTCTGGCACTTTAAATCCACTTAAAGATTTGCATCTTGGAAAACTGGCGTTAACCAAGTTTCCAAAGAGTCCAGAAACATGGATTCATAGGTTTGTTTCCCTTGCTTTCTGTTGCCTCCCCAAACTTAAATGTTTTTCCTAGGTATTTTTTTCCTGTGCTTGGGTTAAGGAGAGCCATAGATGAAGGAGGACATCTAGAAATATAGCAGATTGCTTGAGCCAGTCATTGTAAAATACCGTGCTTTGGCTTTTGAGACACCTGCCTATGTTTTACACTTAGAACTAAATTCACATGCACCTTTTTTTGCTGTGTATTTTTTTTAATAAACTTTGGAGGTGGGATAAATTTTCCTAAAGGTTTATGATGTCTTACAGCACATAAAATTCTCAGCCTGTGAATTCTGATTCTATCAGTAGTAAGTATTGGAGTGTTATAGGTTTCTCCCTCTTTTCCTCCTCCAATGTACTACTATATTGCTTGTCTACAGACATTTCAGAAAGACAAGAATCTGTAAAAGCTAATCTTTATAACCAAAGTTGGGTTCTTTTCAGTTCCAATACTGGTCTTTTTGGTTTGGTGAATTCATTTTCATAATTTCTAACTTAGGAAATGTCATTAAGTCACTACTGCTAAATATTAAACATATATATAAAAAATATAAACATAGATTTAAAAAAATGTAACAGCACATTTTTGGAAAAGGTAACTCCAGAATTACTCAAATGCATGAAGTTAGCAATCTCAGTCAAAAAAAAAAATCTTGCTCTGTGTGTGATTTTTAAAATTTTTATTTAATCATGTATTTTTCACAGGATAATTCATCTGTTTATAGACAGCCATAAAGAGATTTGAATGGAACACATTAGAAAGCAATTCACAATGTTGCATTTCACATGTCCAGCATTAGGACAACCATGAAGTTGGTACCCTATTAGGGGATTCATACTCTGTCAAAAACATAAGTAAAGCCTTAGTCATACTGATAACCTACGAATTTTTGGAAAAGGGAGTTGTTGGTAAGCTTTTCTTTGTGAGCACATGAGCTTAAAAGTTCTCGAAATTAACCTAGAATGTAATACATAGAATATTCCTAGGTATTTCTTAACTTACAAGCATCTACTTAATTTCTGTTAATTTTTTTCTTTGTAGCGTTGATCTAGCAACAACACTAATGAATTTCTGCAATGTTGGTTTTAATTTTGTTGGTTTTCAACTGCTTTTCATCATCTCCATGCTACTGACTCACGCTGCTTGATTCCTTTGTTTGAAGCAAAATGAGTATGTAGAAATAATGGGAAAAAATCTTGCAGTTTGTCGTGGTTTAGCGTTTCCTACATGGTAACTAACACTGGAAAACCAGGATTTTTTTTCGTGTAACTACTAGTGCTAAACCTGGTGCCATCCATATCATTGTGATGATCACTTTTATGAAGTTAGTCAGACAGGTAGGTTCTTAATATTTGTTTACATTTTAGAAATAATGAAAAATTGTGCTATCTTAAGTTAGGAGTAGTTTAATAGTGTTGTTTGTTGTTCTTTCTCGTATTTGCCTAAAACAGAAAAGTGTATTTGAGGATGATTGTACAAATGTTTGGCTTGGATTTAGATGTGCTGACCATGATTGATACATGGTAGAAAATAAGATGGTCAAAAATTTTCTTTCTGCATCAGCATAGTGATTAATGTTGTGTTTTCTGTTCCCCTATGATACCAAATTTCAGACAGAAGTGCAAAAAAAATAGAACAGGGCACTTATAAAATTCAGTAAAACATACGCAAACTTTTTTTTCTTACACATGGCAGATACACTCAGTAAGGATATCAAAATATCTGTTATACGTTTTGCTATGTGGCCTTTTGCTGTACATTTTGGGGGTTTTCAGATAGATCTTGTGCGTATCCAGTCAGTATATATATTGATTGTGCAATTGTCATTGAATAATCCTGCATTCATGTGCAGTACTTCCAGGAACTGCAATTGTAATAGGAACAGGAATATGCACACAGTGAGAGAAGAAATCTGATTTCTTTATTTCTTTTCTGCAAATTTATTGGAGCAAATGTTCTCTTAAAAGCCTTTAAATGATGCCATGATACTCAACAGGTACCAAAAATACATTTTAAATCTTCAGAGGCTGTGCTTGTCTGTCTTTCCTCCCATGCAAAAAGTCTAGAAAGTAGCTCAGGTTTCATTTTATAATTTTTTTTTCTTTTGTTTTAGCCACAGGGACTATAAAGTATATTTTTTTCCATACGCTTCTGTATATAATAATTTATCTGAATTTCTTATTTTATAAAAAAATCTTAATTTTAAGAAACTGAAATTTTTAAGATAATTTGTCTTTTTATGGTTTTACTCAGAAGTCAATGTTAATGAAATAATACTTATCTTTTATTAAAGGAATAATGCTTTACTTACTTTTGTGCCTAGACTTTTTTACAATTTCCCATTTCTTGCAAATAGGATTTGAAGTGAAAAAATACTACATGGTGATGTTTGGATCAAAGACAAAGTCTTCAAAATTACTACATTTCATAAAATAAGGTTACACAACAGTCAAAAAGCATGGTTGGTTTGGCTGTACATCTTTACTTAAAACAAATGTTATATGGGAAGCCAGTATATGAACACTGGCTTCAATCCACTGCTTGTGATTTTGGCTGAGAAATGGAGTCAGTTTAAAAATTGCATTCTTATAAGCTATCTTTAATATTGTCTTCAAATAGTTTAAATCTTTTTTTTAAAATAACTAGGAGAAGAAGACACAGTGCAAATAAGAAATACCAGTGAACAAAAATATAAATATTTTTGAATGAGAGACAAAGCAGATGGATAACCAAACTTTTTTTTAAACAGTGGTTCTCTTATCTATTTTTTGTGTATATATATATATATATGCAATTTTATATACGAATTCCAAAATACAATTATCTTTTTTAAGAAAATTAATTTATTATTTTAAATTTATTTATTGATTTCTTTTAACCAGGACTGACACCTTTCTGGAAGTAGCAATTAATTGATTTTGGAACTGATGTGAACCAGTACAAAACAGAAAAACCTCTGTGTCACAGACCGGAGGATGTCCATATTTCCAGAGCATTCCACATGGGCCCATTGCAATTCTCTTGACACATTCTGCTGCATCGAAGTCTACGCATCTGTGATCCCTTTTTGAAGGACCCTTTTGTGTAGGGTCTGCAAATGCACGGTTTCTGCAGCATGGAGGACACTTCTCAAAATAGTCCTCTAAATATACTACTAAAATACAACTAAAAGTCAGTCCAAAGTAAAATTAAAAAAAACATGTAGGAACCTTTGCTTATCTCGCTTCAAATCAAATAGGTATAATTCAGCAGTAAAAACAATTGTTTAGGTTATACCTATAGCCCTTGAAACCGTAAGTCTTTTGCGCGTTTTCTGCCGGTGGTGTACAGAAACCAATTTGGCTTTGCTGTGTGCAGTACTGACAGATGTAAAAAATACTCACAAAGTACAGTTAGATTTTTTTTTTTTAATCGAATCACTTTTTTTGTCTCGTTTTGAGTACTTTATTTTAGTGCTATACAAATCTCTGAAAGAGGACCTCATTAGAAATCTCATGCAGACAATTCTTACGTTTTTTTCATAAATTCACCATTTCCTTCTATTTTCTTTTAGTATGCTGTAAGTAGCCACGACCACTTACAGTGAGCGAACAAACAAGTACAACTGGAGTTAAATTATTTTCGAGGGTGACCGTAAAGTTATAGCTTTCAGTATGGGAAGAGTTCAGGTGGTTATGTTTACTATTTATTCATCATCTAGTTACAGTGTAGTTCAGATAATTAGTTGATTTATAGAAATGAAAAAACATTTTTTTCTCTTGGAATTGTTCTCTTACCATTAACACTGTACATCGTTTAACCAGACGATGGGTGCTGCAACATCTAATTCAGGAAAACTCCTTGCCTGGTGTTGTGACTAAAGGAAACTTGGGAGCAGCACCTGTGGAGAGAATTCACGGACTAGTACAGGAGGAAATGAATGTCTGCTCTGAAGCTGCTGGGAGATATCCAAGCAACTACAATGCCTGGTCCCATCGCATCTGGGTTTTGCAGCATTTGGGAAAGCTGACTGTCAAGGTATACTACAATAGTGAATAAAGTCTTAAACTTCCTTGTCTAAAAAAAATAAGAATACTGGTTTGCCAAGCAGATCCTGTGACATGGATGGAAGAGTATCATATTAAGTTAGCACAGGTAGCTAAGAACATTTTAAAAAAAACAGGCAAACTATTGTAATGAGTATGTTTTGCATTTTTCTTGTCAGTGTAGGCAGGTTCTGCTCAGCAGAAAGAACAGATTTTTCTTGCCCATGTACAAAATTCTGTTTGTCTGTTGGTATTTAGTGTTAATGAACTTGCAGCAGGAACATAGATGGGACTGTGTGAGCTTAAATAAAGAAGAGGCAACTGAAAGTAATTCTTCTAGCACTAATCTTGAAATTCCTAATAGAGAAAAAGATACTAGACATGACAGATACTGTTTTGATAATGTAATGTGATGTCTTGTTTTGATACCCTTATTCAGCTTATCTGTGGT